CAGTGCAGCATGGGCGTGTACACGGGCCACAGCGAACCTGGAGCAGGCCTCAGAGGACTGAATCTTGGGCAACTGTGGAGGTTTCCAGACTCCTCAATCCACCAATGCCAAAGACAACTTAGAAGGTCAGTGGGGAAAAGTTGTTTCTGTCAGTGCTGAGAAAGGAAGGGGGGTCTCAGCTCCATTCCCCAAGAGCGTGGCCCTGGGGGGGGCAGCTGCTTCCCGAGCTTCCGGCCCACAGACTGAGCGGGAATCCAGTGGCTGATCAGAGAGGGACTGCAGGGATCTCTTTGCCAGTGCTGAGGCAGGATTCTCTTGCTTTGCCCGTGTTTGGATCGGGGTCACAGTTCTGGGCAGCGGTGCTGGGGTAAGGAGGAGCTGGCGGTGGAGCTTGTAGTGGCTGTGAAGAGGAACCCCTCCTCACAGTTACAGGACAGAAAGGAATACTTGTGGTCACAGGCCAGGAAAGGAGTAAACACCTCACCCCTTATCATACCACCTTGGAAGAACTGAAAATTTACAGGTCCCTACAAGTATCTCTGAAAACAGCTACAAACCCCTGAAGCTTGGGACAGTACATTCTCCACATTGGAAGCAGACTCTTACCTTAACAAAGAGTTTAAAACTCAAGTAATTGGCTGGATCATGAGCAAGCAGCGCAAAAAGAGTCAGACTATATTATCTTACTTTGGTGAAAAAGAAGATCAAAATATACAACCAGAAGAAGACAACAAAGTCAAAGCTCCTACATCCAAAGCCTCCAAGAAAAATATGAATCAGTCCCAGGCCTTGGAAGAGCTCAAAAGGGATTTTGAGAAGCAAGTAAGGGAAGTAGAGGAAAAACTGGGAGAGTGATGCAAGAAAATCATGAAAAACAAGTCAACAGCTTGCTAAAGGAGACCCAAAAAAATACTGAAGAAAATAACACCTTAAAAAACAGCCTAACCCAAATGGCAAAAGAGGTCCAAAAAGCCAATGAGGAGAAAATGCCCTAAAAAGAAAAATTGGCCAAATGGAAAAGGAAGTCCAAAAGCTTACTGAAGAAAATACTTCCTTAAAAATTAGAATAGAGCAATTGGAAGATAGTGACTTTATGAGAAATCAAGACACTGTAAAACAAATCCAAAAGAATGAAAAATTAGAAAACAATGTGAAATATCTCATTGGAAAAACAGCTGACCTGGAAAATAGATCCAGGAGAGAGAATTTAAAAATTATTGGACTATCTGAAAGCCATGATCAAAAAAAGAGCCTAGACATCATCTTTCAAGAAATTATCAAGGAAAACTGCCCTGATATATTAGAACCAGAGGGCAAAATAGAAATTGAAAGAATCCACAGATCTCCTCCTGAAAGAGATCCCCAAAGGAAAACTCCTAGGAATATGTAGCCAAATTCCAGAGTTCCCAGGTCAAGGAGAAAATATTACAAGCTGCCAGAAGGAAACAATTCAAGTACTGTGGAAACACAATCAGGATAACACAAGATTTAGCAGCTTCTACATTAAAGGACCGCAGGGCATGGAATATAATATTCCGAGGGCAAAGGAGATAGGATTACAACCAAGAATCACCTACCCAGCAAAACTGAGTATAATCCTTCAGGGGAAAAAATGGTCATTCAGTGAAATAGAGGACTTTCAAGCATTCCTGATGAAAAGACCAGAGCTGAATAGAAAATTTGACTTTCAAATACAGGACTCAAGTGGAACATGAAGAGGTAAACAGGAAAGAGAAATCATAAGAGACTTATTAAGATTGAACTGTTTACATTCCTGCATGGAAAGATGATATTTATAACTCATGAGACCTTTGTCAGTATTAGGGTAGTTGGAGGAAAAAAATTATATGTATGTATATGTAGTTAGATAGATAGAGGGCACAGGGTGAGCTGAAGATTAAGGGGTCATATCTGGAGAATAAAATTAAGGGATGAGAGAGGATTATACTTGATGAAGAAGAAAGGGAGAGGTAGAATGGGGGTAAATTATCTCACAAAAAAAGAAAACAGAAAAGTCTCTTACAGTGGAGGGGAAATGGGGGAAGGTGAGAGGGAATGAGTGAATCTTATTCTCATAGGATTTGGCTTAAGGAGGGAATAACATACACATTCAATTGGGTATGGAAATCTGTCTTACCCTACAGGAAAACAGGGGGAGAAGTGGATAAGAGAGCAGGGCGATGATAGAGAGGAGGGCAGAAAGAGGGTAATCAGAAGTAAATACTTCTGAGGAGGGACAGGGTCGAAAGAATAGAATAAATGGGAGGGCAGGATAGGATTAAAGGAAATAAGAGTTAACTTTTCACAACATGTCTACGATGGACGTGTTTTGCATAACTGCACATGTACAACCCATATTGAGTTGCTCGCCTTTTCAATGAGGGTGGGTGGGGAGGGAGGAAGAGAGAAAACTTGAAACCTAAAGTTTTAAAAACATATGTGTAAAAAAAATGTTTTCACATGCTACTGGGAAATAAGAAATACAGGAAATGGGGTACAGAACTCTATCTTGCCCTACAGGAAAATAGAAGGGGAAGGGGATAAGAGAAGGGGAGAGAGATAGAAAAGAGGACCGACTAGGGCAAGGGATATTCAGAATGCATGCCATGTTGGGGTGGGGGGAGGGGGGAGATGGGGTGAAAATTGGGAATGTTGAAAACTAAAAATAAATAAGTTTCTACTAAAAAAAAAAGACCTCCAAGGAGGGGGAGCCCATCACCTCGTGAGCAGCCCACCCCACTTGTGTCAGGTGGGATTTCCTAACATGGCACCCAAGTCTGCCTCTTTGCTCATGGCTGCTCTCTGGGGCCAAGCAGGACAGTGATCACGACCCTTCCTCCAAGTCTCCTCCTGGCTAAACATGCTCAGTTCTTCATGGACTCTCATATGAAGTGTGACACTTCACTATCCTGGCTACCTTCCTCTGGATGCTCCCTAGCTGGCCAACATCCTTAAACCAGTGCCCAGAACCAAACACTTCAAAAGGTGTTGGAAACTATGTATGCCCCTCGAGCCAGTCCATCACCCTGACGACTCCTACTGAGTCCACTCAAGGTCCACTTAAACCCCCAGATCTTCTTCAGAACAACTGCTGTCTCTCCATGGGTCCCTTACTTTAGGTTTGCAGAGGTGATTTTTTTGAACCTAAATGTAAACCTTTTTCATTTATCCCCACTGAATTTCATAATTCTTTCCAACGGTAGCCTGTTGAAATGCCATCATTATATATAATTATGGTTTGCATTTACACGGTCCTATACAAATAACTCATTTGATCTTCACAACCACCCTACAAGGCAGGTGCTACTGCCCCGTTTTAAAGATGAGGAACCTGTGGTTGAGAGAGTAACCTGCAAGGTCCCCAGCAGGTAGGAGTCTGAGGATGGATTAGAGCCAAGGTCTTCCTGGGTCTGCGCCTAGAGCTCTATTCGCTGTGTCACCATCTTTGGGATCTGGATTCTGTCATCCATTGTGTTAGCTACGGCTTCCTGCTTGGTGTCATCTGGAAACCCAATGAGCACACCCGAGTCATTGATGAACATGGGAAACACGTGAGGGCCAGGCGCTGAGCCCCGGGAGGACCGCCCTGGAGGTGACGGAGTATCATCAACCACAGTCACCCAGCTTGGCACCGGCCTGCTTCTGAACCCCTCTGGCCACATCATTATTTCATCCATCTTTCTCCACAAGGGCACAGAGACACTTTAGTATCAGGAGCTTTGCCGAACTCTAGTTCGACTCCACCCCTGGCATTCCTCTCGTGTACTCTCAGGCCAGGCTCTTCTCCCCTGGCCCCAGACCTCCCCAAGGGCAGTGAGCATAACGGGGCTGGTCACGAGGACAGGGCCGGGGAGAAAACGCAGCGGCAGCACAAGACCCAAGGAAGGTGAGTTTGTCTTTGCCGACTACTGGGTACAGTAGGTCATGGAGACATCCCGGGTCCTCTTCTTAAAGGGGGTTTCCCCAGCAGCATAGCCCCACAACCACCTCCACAAGGGGCCCATAGTGACGTGGGAGGGTGTGGTCAGGGTTTTACAATGGGAATCTTGGTGGTGGTAAAGATCACCCGGGCGCAGGCCTCTGGGGCTGGGGGTAGGGCGCCCTTCGAAGCCATGGCAGCCGAGCCCACGTCCCACCTATTTTTGTCGTTTAGTTACTCTCTGGTGACGCCATTTGGGGTTTTCTTGGCAGAGATACTGAAGCGGTTTGCCATTTCCCTCTCCAGCCCATTTACCAGATGAGGAAACTGAGGCAAACAGGGTGAAGCGACTTGCCCAGGGTCACACAGCTAGTGTCCAAGACTTGATTTGAATGCGTGTCTTCCTGACTCCAGCACTCTACATGGCCACCTAGCCACTCCTGGCCAGTGTGACGCAGCAATTGCCCCAGAGAGATGGGGCAGCCCAGGATCGATAGCGCCCATGGCTCTGGGGCCTCCTGCCATCTGGGTCAAGCTTCCAGTTTTATTACTGTTCTTAAGAACAGTGAATGCTTCCAAAGAAATGCTTAGTTTCCAAATAAGAGTTTATCTGTTACTAGGCGGGAGAAGAGGATCTGATGCTATCAACACCTGCCCAGGTGTTAGGTGAAATCTTTCTCGAGGGGGAGGGGATGACGCGGTGACCACACCATGATTCTTCTATGACCTGAGAACTGTCTTGAGCCCTGAGAGACCTGCACAAATCCCAGGGCTTCCCAGGTTCCTGGGGTGGGTTGGAAGACAGAATGACGGATGCCAAATTAGGCCATGGTTGGACTCTGCTGGGCCTGGAGTATTTCTCGACATTCTGAAGCATGGGGACTCGAGGCTGGAGAAGCTGCCGGGCCCCAGCTGCCGGCCACTAGCAGAGGCCCGCTCCGCTGGTCTTTGGCACATGGGCTCCCCTGGCCTCGACGTGAAGGCCCAGCACCCAGAACAGGCTGGGGGGCCTAGGAGAGAAAGGAGAAAAGGAGAGAGAACAGAGCTTGGAGACGCCTGCACTGGGGGAACAGACAGCAAGTGAAGATCAGAGAGGCTGGCCCACAACAAGCAGGAACCAGATCGAAATGTAATTGGGAAATACTTAACATAACAGATAAAAATACAATCAAACAGAGATACTACATTCTGAAATAGAGTCGACGTACGGCCCACAGGGATCCACGCGCGGCACAGTGGTCCCTGTTTCCATGAGTTGGACACCATTGGTGTAGAGGACACAGCACCAGACTTGGGAGTACAGAGAGCTGGGTTCAAATCCTGCCTCTGACACCACTGGGATGAACAAATCCCTCGGCCTCTCAAGGTCTTCAATGACAACAGTAATGATAGTAACAGCAGCAGCTAGCGCACACAGCGCGCGTTAAGGCTTCCCCAGCACTCCACCCGGATTCTCTCATTTGATCCTCACAACCACCCTGGAGGGAGGGGCTCTCATCACCCCATTTTACAGAAGAGAAAAACTGAGGCAGGCCATGGTGACATGAATTGCCCAGGGCCCCAAACTGGTGTCTGTGGCCAGACTTGAACTCGGGTCTTTCTGACTCCAGGAGCAACATTTCCCCAGAGGCCGGCCTGGTCCTGGCTGCGCCCTCAGGCGCACAGACCCCTCTCGATGCCCCAGGCCAGTGAAGTCGCAGGTGTAGACCACCCTCACCACACATACACGTGAATATATATGCACATCTGCAGATACAGCTTAGGGACAGACTACACATTCCAAACACGAGCTCGTGCTCAGCGATCCAGGACAGAAAACAGGAGCCGACTCTGCTAAGGACACGGCTGCAGGTGTCATTTGCACCCAGGCGGTTGGCGCCAAGTTCCGACTTGGAGAGATTAGGCCCGTGCCAGGAGGGTCCTTAGAAACCGCCGAGTCCCACAGTCCTCCTTTTTCAGAAGAGGAAACTGAGGCCCAGGGGGGAAGGCTCTGACCCAAGGGCACCCAGTGGCTCGAGCCCAGGTTACAGCCCGGTGTAACACGGTGGGAAGCGTCCCCAAGCCAGGTGAGGAAGAAACAAAGATGGCGGGCACAGAGCCGAAACCTTTTATTTTCAGCAGGCCAGGGAAGGGCGTCCTCCTGGATCCCACTCTCCTGAGGGCAGAGGACTTGCCAGGATGCCCCTGGCACACCTGCCTCTTCCTCATCACTTCCTCAATTCACTGATTCTGCCAGGTATTGGTCCCAGAAGGCCCCGACCCTCCTTTGGAGTCTTCATCCCAGAGAGCCGAGGATGCTGCCACCACCATAAGCAGGGGCATAAGGAGGGGGAGAGGAGCGGGCTTCTAGCAGAACCAACCCCCAGGCAGAAGGCCTCCTGTGGCTGAAAATGAAAAAGCATCACCTCGTGGGCTCTCATTTCATTAAAAATAAATATTTATGAACAAGGGAGGGGATCTGAAGAACTACAAGGTTTCAAAGGTTCCCTTGCGGCGACACAAGTGTCCCGCGGTGCCAGGGTGCCTCTGTGCCAGGCGAGGCACTGCCCCCTGCAGCTGCCTGGGCTGCCCTGGCCATAGCGCCCACCCTCCAGGCTGCCTCGCCGGCACCCGCCTCAGTCTCCCTTGGTGATCAGGTCTTCGATGTAGGCGTCCAGCTCGTCATCGGTGTTGATGTCGATGTCCTGAAATGGGATGTGAGAGCCAGGCTGAGTGGGTGGACACCTCAGGGGTTCTTGAGAGCCGGCCCCTGCCCACCCACCCTGAGGGGGTGGGGGGCAGGAACGGAGCCGCCCACCTTCACCTGGGATGACAAGGCTCATCTCCAGCGGTCTGGACACCTAGCCAGTGGGGATCCCCACACAGACGATCCCCAGCTGGGTGCTTAGGGCCCTTTCACACTGGCCCCCCGGCAGCTCCTCAGGTGTCACCTCCAGCCTCCACATCTTTGCCTAGGCTGTCTCCCATGCCCAGAATCCTCCCCCTCAACTCTTGGAATCAGTCCCTGGCTTGTGGACCCCCAGATGCTGCTGGCTCTCCCAGCTAAGCCACGAGGCAGCAGAGACCAATGCCAGGCTTGGCACCGAGTGGGTGCCTCATTAATGATTACAGAATGCTGAGTGACCCTCACGGTTGCCCCTGGAGAGGATCAGGACCAGCGTCCAGGGCAGGGACTCTCTGTGGCTCTGAGGAAGGGCCCCACACAGGAGGCCCTGCTCACCTCTTGCACCTTCTGGAGCAGGGCCACAATGTTCGTCCTCAGCTTCTGCAGCTTCTCCTCGGTTTCTCGCAGCTTCCTCTCAGAGGCACGCAGGTTCTCCTCGGAGGCCTTGGCACGGGCGTCAGCACGGGTCTGGTATGAGTTGCACAGATTCTGCAGACCTACCTCATACTGTTTGAAATACTCCTTCTGGAGAGGAGGAGGAAGAGGATGGCAGAGTCAGGGTGAGCACAGCCTGGGGCCGGGGCCAGGGCTGAGTCCGAAGGGCTGGCCATTCTGAACATAGGATGGGGACCGAGGGAAAAGACCTCCCTCCCTGGTCAACCTGACCTGTCCTAAACTCAAGCAGATTTTACAGGACTTCAGTGGCCCAAGAGACCCCCACCAGGGCAGCATGGTACAGACAACTTGGGCTCAAAGTGGAGAGGCCCCTGGAGACAAGAAGACTGAGTTCAAATCCAGCTGTGTACCCCTGCTATGTGACCCTGTGTGAATCACTCCACCTTTGACTCCGTTCCCTCATCTGTAAAATGGGTATGAAAACACCCACCTCCCAAAGCTGTTGTGAGGATGAGATGCAATCAAATTAGCAGAGCACTCTGCAAACCTTCAAGTGCCGTGTAATGCTGGTGCACCGACCACTGCCCGGGTGCCCTGGGGCGGGTACCTTCCCCTGCTCTGGGTCTCGGGCCTCAGAGGCCCTCCCGGCTGCAGGCCCGCAGCCGATGGAGGACGTACTCCATTCCCTTCTATCCCTGGATCATGGGGCCTCTGAGGATGGCTCTGGGGCACCACAGACGCATGCCATCCTTCGGGTCTGTCCAGGGCGGACGGGCAGGCGAGATGTATAACTCTTCCAGACAGCTCCACGGGGATGCGCCTAGCCTTCTCGACCCAGCTCTGGCCTGGCTTTAGTCCATCCTGGCAGTGACCTCCTTTGGCCAGCCCACAGCTGTGCTGGGTCCGTTATCCAAAGGTCGAAGAAGCCCAAGGGATCTGGGTCTGGGGGCAGGAGTCCCCTGGCAGGGAAGAGCCTCTAAGGCAGCCTCTTGTTCCATGGAGCCAAAGGGCCAACACCCATCAGCACCCTGGGACCTTCTGCATCTCACAGGCAGCTGAGAGGGTTAATGACGAGCTGTCACAGGGAAAGCTCGCCTGCTCCCTCACCGAGGGTCACCTGGGTCTGTGTGATAGATGGGCACAGGCGGGAACACGGGCTGGCAGCCAGTGCTGTTCCCTCAGTCACCTCTCTTCACTTTTTTCTTCTTTTTCTTTTTTTGCTAGGCAATGGGGTTAAGTGACTTGTCCAGGGTCACACAGCTAGTGAGTGTCATGTGTCTGAGGCCAGATTTGAACTCAGGTCCTCCTGACTCCAGGGCCAGTACTCTACCCACTGGGCCACCCAGTAGCCCCTCTTCACTTCTAACCAGGGCCAAAATTCCTTGTGGACCTATTGCATCGTACAGCCTCTGACTGATGGGCTGACCTCATGCTTTGGGTGAAGCTGGCTGCTAGCGCCAGGCTAGTGCCCGTTGTCGCCCCCTTCTGAGGCCCTTGCGGCTCTCATTCTGTGCCCCAGTCCCACGCTTCACCGTCACGGAACTCTTGGGTGTCTTAAATTGGCCGTGGAATTCCAGCTGGGACAAGAAATCTGGCCGTCTGGTCCTCGGCCTTAGTGCCGCCTCAGTGGCCTTCCCAGGCCCAAGGGTCATCTGGCTTTCCTCATCCCCCGACACAAACAACCCGACTGACAGCAGGTGGGGGCAGTCGCTGGCGGCTGGTGGGCTAGGGGGTGAGAAAACAAAGTGCAGGCATCCTCGACTCACCAGAGGAAAGGCCATCAGCTCATCCGGGCTCATCGAACTCAGGTCCTTCTTTGAGATGGGGAAGTTGGGAGGCAGGAAATACCGGAGACAATTCCTACAAAGAGAAGGAACAAAGCGGAGACCAGGGTCAGAAGAAGCCCACGGGTAACACGCTGAGGTGGCCAAGAGGCGTGCTAGGACAGACACACACCGAAGGGTCTGGACCAGCAGGTCCACGCTCTCCTGGTTGCTGTTGGGTGCTGTGGTGTCCGGCTCAATGCGGATGCAGTCGGAGGTCGAAGGCTCGATGGCGATCACATCTTCATCCTCTTGCTGCTGCGTGTCGGGGCTCTGATACTCAGGTGAGGGGGGCTTCATCAGCCGCACGTCATCGCTGCCTTTCTCGACCCTGCAGAGGGGAGAGAGGCAGCTCAGCCTGGCCCTGGCCCGGCGCCTCTGGGCCTCCTCTCCTCCCCCACGCGGGCTGGCAGCTTACCAGCGGTCTCTCGGCGTGGTGTCGGTGGGCACGTAATCGAACTTCACCTTCCAGCGTACCACGTGCTTGCTCACCTCTACGGCAGTCACGCGGCCCGTGTACCACTCCTTGTTCACGCGCACCTCCACGTGCAGCCCTTTGTCTGGGAGATACGATGCTTATGGGGTTTTGCATTCCCGCCCACACCTCGTGGCCTGGCTGGAACCCCTTCCCTCCTTGGTCCCAGGAGTGCTAGGAGGAGAGGCTTCACACCAGCCGAGCTGCTAAAAACAACTCTGAGGTCGGGCCATCACCAGGAACCAACCGCCTGGGAATAAAATGCAGCTGTCGCTGCTACGGGACTTGGCTCCGAAGCTGGAAGCCATGCTCCTGGTCTTGCATCCCCGCCCCCTTTCCCTGCTGGGCTGGGCGATTTTCTCACTTCTCACCTTTCTGGGCTCTTTTCAGTTCTGCCAGGTCTTCTTCACTGGCACTGTCCGAGAGCTGCAAATAGACACAAACCCCCGTGTCACCGAGAGGCATTCTGAAAGAATGAGTCACCAGCTCCAGGCCCTGCCACCTCAGCCCATCCTTCCCCGATGTGTCATCTCCATAGGAGTCTAACCCACAAGCCCAGGCCACCAATGGGCTGCGGGGGCGAGAGAGCATGGAAGTGAACCTGAGGCATCTAAGATGTTTATGAACATCCCATCGGAGAAGTCCAATGGGTGGCTGGAGATGGAGGGCCGTCAGGAGAGGGGTCAGGGCTGGTAAGTGAAGCCAAGAACCATCAGACAGACACAATGGAATCCACAGAAGCTGATGAACTCACCACACTGAACGGGACAGAGGAAGAAGAGGACAGAGCCTCAGAGGGCATGGCAAGAGGGCAGAGGAGCAGGAGAAGCCAGAGTCACAAGACCCAAGAGAGGGGAGGGGGATCAGCAGTGCTCAAGGCTGCAGAGAGCTCGAGGAGGATGAGGATGGAGAAAAGGCCCTCGGTCACTGTGGAGCTATGAGGAGGAAGGCATCACCACCGAAGCCTGTCTCAAGGAGGCAGGAGAGATGTGGGACGAGAGTGAGAGGGGACAGAGCAGGGGCAGGTTTGAAGGGACGGGGAGAAAAGGCATGTGTGTGGGCAGCAGGGAAGCAGTTGGGAGACAAGGAGAGGCTGAAGAAAAGCCAGAGCATGGGGACACTGGAGGAATGGCCCTAACTTCCCCCTTCCTTCCCCTTTCAGCGACCTCCTGTGTGCTGTCTAGGCCGAGGACAGGAGTTGGGGAGAAGAGAAATTGTGGGAGCCAGGCACTGAACTCATGGAGGAAAGAAAGGGAGTGTCCTGGAGGTGGGCAGGTGATAGCCCCGGAATTCTGCCTGGGCGGCAGAGGGGGCTTGAGGTCATCTTCAGCGGAGGAGAAGTGGCCACGAGCAAAGGGCCAGCATGAGGGGGAATACGAGTCAAAGCGCTACTGCGAGTCTAGGCGGCCAGAGATGGTCATCGGGAGGGAGGGAGCCAGGCTTCCGTGAGGGCAAGACGGAAGGACTGAGGAAGGAAAGGGTTTGGGATGGAGTCAAGATGGCTACCTTTGGAGCAGTTATTCTGAGGGCACCATGGGAAGGATGGGAGATCTGCAGTGGGAGGAGTGGGTGGTGGGGCAGAGAACAGGTCTGAATAACGAGAAAGGATGGGAGGCAGCTGGCACGACGGCGATGGACTTTGCTGAGTCTGGGGGTTTGATCTCAGGGCAGGGTGCTTTGGGAGCATCAGGCAGCAGTGTTGAGTGTGGACAGCCGCAGGGCTTAGAGCACCTCAGACTCAACACAGAGCCCAACGCTCGCCTCTTTCCGCCTAGGTCCCCGGGATGTGGGGCTCCGTCCTCCTCGAGGCCTCATTCCCTCAGGCCGTTCAGCGGCCAAGTTTCACCGGTCCTACTGGCCACATTCCACACACGTCCCCTTCTCTCCAATCATCCCTGCTGGCCTAGATCAGAAACCCATCACCTCCTAGACCACTCCTCAAGAGCCTCCTTGTGGCCTCGAGGACCCAACAGGTCTCTTCCACCCGGCCCCTGGCGCTCCTCACCATCTGGCTGCACCTAACAGCCCTGCTTCCTCCTCTCCAAACCTGGCTCTTCCCATCCCCTTGAGGGGATCCACTAGGGCTCTCCCCTACCTCAAACTGAATCCTTCTTGGCCTCCATGGTGCATCCCCATGTACCTGCCATGCAGGGACAGACGCTCAGTAGATGCTGGACACACTGGACTGCCCGCTACGTCGGCACGCCTCCACTCACATTTAGAGGGAAGCTCAGGTGGAACACAGACTCTAGCAGAGATAAAGAGGCCACAAGCACAGGCCCGGTGGTAGGTGGCTATCCCTTGGGCAAATGTGCCACAGGCCTTGCAAGTGCCAACCTGACTCTGTGTGGCCCGGCCCCATCCTGGCCCCAGGATGCTGGCTGCTGAGCTCAAGGACCTTTGAGAACCACCTCCTGCTCAGGGCTTGCCCCAATGCCTCAAGGTCACAGGACCAGCAGATTATCTAGGGCTGGAAGGACCTTCAAAGCCAGGAATCCAAGCCCTTCATTTTACAAAGGAGGAAACTGAGGCTAGACTGTGTGTGCGCTTGCGTGTGTGAATGAAAGGAATTGCCAGTGGTCACCCAGTTACTGAGTGCCTAAGGCAGCATCTGAACCCAGAGTGTTGCCAGGCTGCTTTTTAGCTGTTAGCACTCTCCTCTCCAAAACTACTCTGCGAATAGTCTGTAAATACCCAACAGAATGTAGGTTCCCGAAGGCCAGGGGCTGTCTTCCTTAGCACACTGCCCAGCACACAGCAGGTGCTTAACCATGGTTTGCTTGATTGCAATCTGTGCCCATGGAAGGGCACCTGCATGCCTGGAGTGCCAGAGCCCACCCAGGGCCAGCTGCTATCACGGGTGCAAGGACATGTCCTTGAGGGGGCTTCTGGCCTGGTCTCTTGCTGGAGGTGGGGCGGTGCTCACCTCTACAACGACTTCACTCGAATCCTTCTTCTCATCTTTCACTATGAACACTTTGCCCCGCTTGGGCTTCTCCTTCCTCCTGTCAGCATCATCCTCAGCCTCGTCTTCCATCAGAGGAAAGCTCCTCTTCCGGGCACTGACAATCTGGAGAGAGAAGAACAGCAGTCACAAAGGGGGCCAGGGGAAGATGGGCGGGGCTCATGCGCCAGAGGGCTCTTCAGAAGGACCCTACGGCCAGTGGCCTGCCTGGCTGCCAGGGCCTGCCTTGGCTCCTGACGCCTCTGGGTCTCGTAAGGTGCTCTGCCCTGTGTCCCTGCCCCTTAAGAGGGGCCAAAGGGACCCCAGGAAGCCTCAGGTTAGAGATCACTTCTGACGGGCGTCCTCCAGGTGAGTGGGCCTCAACTGGAAAACATGGGAGGGGCAGGAGGACCATAGGGGCTGGTGGCATCAGCTCGGAGGGGGCATGAAGTGGGAGCCTGAAGACACAAGGAGCCAGGGGTCTAAGTAGACCTCTGTCTTTGTTTGAGCAGAGCTGTGCCTGCACTTCCAGTGTGAAGCAGGCCAGACCCCTCCCTGGGCCCAGGGGCGCTTGGTCCTTTCCCGCCTCTAGGCCTCCACTGCACATCGCGGGCAGCCTTGACTTGGCAAAGAGAAGTGAGCCCTGGCCTGGCCCAGCCCTGCTCCGCCCACTAAGTGTCCCAGAAGAGAGCCTGTTCCTTCCACATCTACACGAATGGGCCTTTCCTTCTGCCTGAGAGGTCAGGCAGAGCAGGAGTCTTGCCCGGTCCATTCTCTGCTGACCCGCGTCCCCCGACTCTCCCATTTTCTAATGTGTCTTTGCTTGGGAGTGAGGTTGAAAGAGCCCGGGCAGTTTCAGGTGTCTGGGTGACTCACAGGGATAGCACTACTCTACTGAGCGCAATTGATCAAGAGCCAGACTCAGGATGTGGTGCTGGCCTGAGTCAGAAGATATGGGTTTGGAATCCTTGGGCCATGCCTGGGTGATACACACACCCTTTTACCTTACCCGGAAGGTGGCCCCAGGTGGCCCAAAGTCTAGAGTAAACAGTGGAGGGCAGCTGCTCCCCAGGGCAGGCCCCAGACCCCTGCAGATGCTGGGGAGGACAAGGCTGCTGTGGGTGGGCTGTGAGCGGTGCAGAAGCAAAGTATCACCTGAGGTTTACTGGGCGGGTCTGGCTTCTTGAGCACTGGGGTCTTCACCGGTTTGGGGATGGGCACGTCACGGGGGGGCCTGGAATTCAGCACAAGCGATGTGGGGGACCTCACCACGGAGACCATTCTGTGAGCCGGTTTGACAATGGTGCCACTGGACTTCCGGGGAGCCAGAATTGGGTGGGACATCCTGGATGTGCTGGCTTCCTCCTGGGCTGGTCTCGGGGAGATGGCCAGAGGGCCCCTTCTGGCCTGGAAGACTGGTCTGGGAGTTGGTAGGGGCGGGGGAGGTGGGGGTGGGGGTCGGCTTGGAGCATTCTTAATCACAGCTGGAAGTGGGGGGGACCTAGGGCGCGGAAGTCGACGGATGGTATGGGACTCCTGGAAGAGATGGGAGAGGGTGAGAACTGTTACCTGAAAGGTCTGAGAAGTGAAGGCTGTCAGCCCTCCATGAGAGTGCGGGGAGAAGCCCCTGAGCTTGGGGACCCTGGCCACACTCACCTCCATGGCAGGCCTGCTGCTCACTTCCAGGGGTAACTTCTTCAGGTCAGCTTGGGATCGGATCGGAATTGTCTTCTGCAGGGAGGACGATTATTCAAGTTTGTGTGTGCCCCTCGATCCAATCAGAGAGCTGCTCGCCCCCGCCCCCTCAAGTTGCCTGAGCCCCACCCAGGGGCCCCTGTCCTCAAGAAGCCAGACAAGGTTGACAAGGCCAGAAGGTCTGAGAGCCAGGAGGTTTACCTGACATCAGGGGACACATTTAGAGAGGAGGAAAAGTGCAGGACCTCAAGTTAGTGATGGAAGGGGAGGGGAAATGAAGGGGATGATGATGACCCATTCAAATCCCAACAAGTCAGGGGGCTTTGCCCAAGGTCACAAGGTAAAGTGAGAGGCTGGATTCAAATCCAGATCAGATCATTCACTGTACTGTCCCCACTTTGCCCCCCAATGCATGCATGCATTCACTCATTCATTCATTCATTCATTCATTCATGCTGTAGAAACATCTCTGTGGTGCCAGGCCCTCTGCTGGGCAGCCCCTGCCCTCGCTTGGCTGAGGGTCTACCTGGGGATGCTCTATCTACACACACATAACTGGAGGAGGGAGACAGCACCAGTGTGGCAGGGGCTGGGGGCAGGGTCAGGGAGGGCTTCTCCTATTGGAACTCTATGAGGAAGGGGCACATCCCAGGCTGAGCTTGAGGAACGGTGAGGTGGGCAGCACGCCCAGAACAAGGCGTGTGGGAAGGGGAATTCTGAGAAGGGAGAGTGACAAGAGCTGAGAGGGAGCCTGGACCTTGCAGGAACACTCGGGGGCCAAGCCTGGCCAAAGCCTCGAATGTCACATTAGGGAATCCAGCACGGGCCCCAGGGTGGAGTCCTGCCTCTGGGGCACCTTCTTCGACACATCTGGGGCCCTTTGCCCAGCCAGTAACAGGGCTCGGCCCCGCCGGCTCCTGGCAGCTGTCCAGCCTGTGCTCCGAGGGGCTGAGGGTAGCCTGGCACCCACCCACCTGCAGGGCCTCCAGCTTCTCCTGCTGTTGCCGGATCCTCTCCGTCAGCTGCTTCTGCTTCTCCTCCTGGGTCTTCAAATCCTTCCTCAGGGTCCCCAGGGGAACCTTTTGCTTCTGCTCAGATGCATCGCAGCTGCGCCCACAGACAAACAGGTGTTGCTGAGGATGCACTTTGGGAGGCCCAGACCCCAGACCAAACCCCTGGGGGACCCCCTCAGGCTTCCTCATCCCTTCCTCTCCCAACAAGAAACCAGCCAAAGTCCGTTTCATGAACATGAGGGTCCCTGCGGGGGCTCCGCCCCCCAGGAGCTTCCTCCCTCGCCCTGGTGCCCAGCCGGCCCCCTTACCTGTCCTGTTCAGCATCAGGGTTCATCGTGCACACCCACGTGTCCGGGTAGTCCCTCTCCACAGAACTCAGCTGGAAGGGCAGCGTCCGCCACTTCAGACACAAATCTGCCAAACAGAGCACAGACTGCGGTAGCTGGCAACACCTGCCCGTAACACTCATTTACCAAGCCCTAAGCTCCTACGTGTGCCAAGCACTGGGGACATAAAGGGAAACAACTGCTCCCAGTCCTCAAGGAGACAGTGTTCTCCCACGTCTGCCCTCTTCCTAAGCTGCCAGAGTTCTGGACCCTTCCAGTCCAGCTTCTGTCTGAAGCAGGCCCCCCTCCCCTCACATCCATACTACACATTTCAAACCTCTCTGAGCACTCTCCTCATGACTATTCTATGAGCTGTGCCATGCAAATACTATCCTCATTTTACAGGTGAGGAAATGGAGGCCTTGACAAGAGAAGTGACTTGTCCAGTTTCTAAGATGCAAGAGACAGGACTCAAACAGAAGCCATCTGATGCCAAATCCAATGCTCTTCCTCTAAAACGGCTGCTAAAGACCTCCAGGGATGGAGAGCTCCTTCCCCAGTGGGGCGGCTCGCTCTGCCCTGGGACAGCCCCAACTGCTGGGAAGTTCCTTGTTCTGGTGAGCAGTAATCTGCTTGTCTCCCAGGCCTCACGAGCCCTGAGAAAGGCAGGGCTGCCAGAAGGTCTCCACCCAGGAAGCAAGGATGGTTCCCTCCCCGCTTTGTTCTGGACAGATTGAATCACTTCTGGATACTGAGTCTGAGCACAGGCCAGCCAGCTCCAGGCCCCCCCACAGGTGGACGGGAGGAGACAGGAAGCCACACCCACCCTGGCCTATGCTTCAATAATCTCCAAGCTGAGCCATCACTGATTTAGCTATCCCGAGTGGAAAGGCCAGAGGGAAAAGCCTAGGCCCCAGGGAGAGTTCTCCCAATCTTGGCCCTGGGAGGACAGCACGGGGGCAGGATGTGACACATTCTGTCAGACAATTACTCGATCACCTGGTTTTGTCTGATTGTTAAGGGAGAGGGTTCACAGGCGGGTTCGTGGGGGGAGAGGGGACATCTCTGGAAACGACTGATATAGAGATAAGCCTCAACAACAATTCTTAGACTCTATCTGAAACCACCACCTCGGCTCCCACCACTGACCCACGGCTCGGTGCTCAGGGGCGCACTCACCACACTGGATCGTGGTGGGAATCTCCATGGCCCTCCTCCGCTTGTAGCGAAGCTCACTAGACGGCGGCTGGCTCCAGTTGGCCGAGAGGTAGCCAAACTCATCCCAGAACTTGATGATTCCCCGCTGGGCTGGAAAGCAAACCGTCCCGAGCGCCGCTGTTAGCAGCAGGGAAGAGGCCCGCCCTCGGTGCCCGTGCCACTCCCCTCTGTCACCTCCTTACCGATGGCCACATCCTTCCAGTACTGGGCCAGGTGTTCGCCCATCGCTTTTAGCAAATGCCGGTATTCCTTGGCATCAGCAAAGTCCTGCTTGTTGTGGGTGGGCTCCAGGACCAGATAGGGCACGTCCACCACGCCAACGACCCCCCCACAGGCCCTGGGAGGGAGAAAGGAAGATGTCCATCATCCACGGACCCTCAGGTCCCCAAGAGAGGCTGCCTCCAGCTGGCTCTTGGAAGATACTCACATGCCTCCCTCGAGCTGCGGGCCCACCTTCTCATACATCTTAATCAGGCGACTACAATTGTATATGAACATGCCGTCCAGATCCCGCTGCTCGATGTTCACCCCAAAGACAAAGTTAAGCTCCTTGGGTTCCTTGAGGGCCCTGGAGGGAGATGAGGGGATCAATTAAAGCAGGCAGCTGGCCTTATCTTGGGGCTGTTTTAGAAAACCAGAAGGCCCATTTCTGAGGGACTGCAAAGTCTCAGGGATCGCAGGCACACGTTCCAGAGCTTCCGGCAATGGTGGAAGGCTGTGATCGGGATGCAGGGGTGGGTGGGGGGGAGGGGGAGGGAAAACCTTTTTGCAAACATTGAGACTGTTGAACCCAAGTGACGTGGACACTGTCTGGATATACACAGTCAGGTTTACGTTCATCTTGTGCTTACTACCTGCCAAGCCAGCAGCGCTCAACGTTGGGGATATGAGGACAGGAACAAAAACCAATCTCTGCCCTCAGAGAGCTCATAAAAACACGTGGCCAGAGCGCAATCTGAAGATACAGTAGGACTGACACAAGTCTCTCTCAATTCTCATAAACTAAAGCCAGGAAGACAGGCCAGGTCGCCCACAGCTGGGATCCTTTCGTTACACCAAAGACTCTGAGCTTTGGCAGTTGGCCCCCAGTGACATGGGGGTTCCGGCCACAGACGCCGTCAAAGCTCCGCCAAGGCCTTGGTCAGTGCCAACTGCCAGAGCTCAGAGTCTTCGAGATCTGGGCAGCTTGGATGACCACATTCACACAGTATGTGACCAATCGTGTGGAAGCAGAAGGAATTCTGTTTAAGCTCCTGGCAGAGAGGACAGAGGGCTGGATCCTGCCTCAGCCACCTCCTTGCTCTGTGACCTTGGGCAAGGTCTCTAACCTTTCAGCCTCCGTTTCCTAATCTATAAAAAGGAGATACTAAGATCACCTGCCTCCCAGAACTATTCAGAATCTGATGAGCATGTTTGTGAAACACTTTGTAACAAAACCTTAAAAGGATATAGAAACGTAAGCTAACGCACTGTCAGGAGTGTGCTGCTCACAGAGCATTTAAACTGAACTTACGCTCCAAGACAGCAACCCCTATACTACTCTCCAACCCCTCGGGGAACCTGGGGGCCTGGGGCCCGTGGGCAGCCAGGCCCTCACCTTCATGAGCCCAGGCCCCCTCAGTCACAGGCAGAAAGCACTTTCTCATCTAATCCACAAAGTGACGCCCATGTTGAGTGCCCAGTGCCCAGGGGAGGCTGGCAGCAGAATGAAGGGGCTTGGGAGGCGTTGGGACGTGCCTGAGGCTCAGCTGCCCCGAAGGCTGAGAGGAACCACGCACTCACCGCTGTTTGGCCTCTTTGATGCGCTTCTTAATGTCCGCTTCCCGGCGCAGGTTAATGGCGGTGCCCTGGACCTGCCGCAGGGCCACCTAGAGAGAGGGGAAGGCAGGGAATGGCGGGTCAATGGTGCAATAACAGAAAAACAAAAACATCCCTCACCCCCGGCCATGAGATCAGCTGCCCCAAAGTCCTGACTCATGCAGATGTTGAGACTACACCTGCACAGAGCTCCCTCACCCTTGAAAGCCACTGGCTTTCAGGGGGAAGAGCTTCAGCTCAGCTAGAGGTACCCCATTTTAGGGACTCCAAATCCCCCTTGCTGCTTTCCCTTCCTCCCTTGCCCTGGACCTTTAGTGGAAGCCTGGAAGCTCCCTAACACAAGGCTTGTTTTGTAGCCCCAACACTTAGCCCAGTGCAGGAGATCAATAAATCACTGAGAAAATTTGCGGGGGAGGACCTCTGATGTCACTCAAACCAATGTCTTCAAGCATCTCAATGGCTTTCATAGGGAAGGGAGAGCAATTCTGCTCGACCACAGAGCCACGGACAGAGTTTCAAGGAACCAAATTTGAATCCACTGTCCCCAGGGGCCGCCCTCAGCCCTCAATGTGTCCAAATACAGGCTTCATGATGGAGGCTACTCCCCTCACTCCAAATCAGCAATTTTCTACTCTGTGCACATGGTCCTCAGAACCAGTCATCTCCAACATGCTATTGTGTGTGACGAGGACAGAGGACTGTCCTGTACTCATGTGATGAGGATGGACGGCGGGCCACTGCCATGCCCGTGTACGACAAGGATGGACAGCATGCTGGCCCCGTGCCTGCGAAAGATGAGGATGGATGGCGTGCTGTCCCAGGCCATCCTGGCCCAGAGGCCACCAGCAGCCCCAGCAGCTTACCCTGGATTCACGGGTGAGGTTTCCTCCAAGTCTCAGCTCCAATGCTCGGGCTTTGTTCTCAGCCTCCCGAGCCTTGTCTTCCGCTGAAATCCAAACAAGGCCACACTGAAGGATGTGGGAAGGAATGGGGAGGGCAGCCCTCAGAGAGTGGGGCAGCAGGAAGGGGCATCTGCGAATCCCAGGCCCCCAATCCAAGAGTCAGGATACCTGGGGTGAGGGGCCAGGCCCAGGTTCTAGAGCAGACTGAGGAGGAAGCTGGTGGCTCTGCCACTTACTTCCCATCTGACCTGAGGCCCCCATTCCCTCCTCCATACAGTGTGGGGGGGGAGGGGCGGAGGGAGGAGGGATGACAAAGGTACAGAAGGTGAAGGCTGCTCAGCCTGCAAGGCAGGGATGGAGAGGCTCTGGGCCAAGAGACCTCAAAGCCCCAGTGATGTGGGAGAGAATGCAGGACAATAGGGCAGCGTTCTCCCCCAAGACAAGCTTCTGTCTTTAGAAGCAGATGGCAGGCCTGGGCTTGCCCCCAGAGCAGAGTCTAAAGGAGGGAAGGGCAGAGTTAGGCCTAGAGGCCAGATGAGAAGGGGCCAGGCCCTTAGGAGGGTGCACAGAGAAGGTGGGGCCAGTTATCTATGCGTACCTATGCGGGCCACGTGCTCAGCCTTTTTCACCTCCTGTTCAGCTCTTGTCTTGAAGCGGTTGGAGGTATACTTGTACATCCTGTGGAAAAAAGGTGAGTGAGGTTTCCAGGAAAAGGCGTCACCCCAAGAAAGGTGACAGCCAGCCCCTGCAACTCCCACCTCTTCACAGGGCAAGGCTCTGGCTCCCACCTTCCTTCTGTTCACTCTGCCCCAGGGCACAAAGAAGTCCCATGGACAGAGCCAGGGGCCTGCTCTCAGCTTTCTGTCATGGCGCCCCAAGCAGCTCTGCCCTCAAGGATCCAGCTTAAGAGCTCCCCAGGGTGCTGGGGTACAGGCTCCCCAACTGCCGGGCTCACCTGTCCAGCTGCAGGAGCTCCTGGCAATGCCCAGGCTCTGGCTGCCTCTTCCCTTCCACAGGATGGGGGGGGGGGGGCGCGCCGTAGCACAGAGAGCCCAGCCTGGGACAGAGGCTAAAAGATCGAGCCCAGCTCAGCTACCTGTGATCTGGAGACCTGGGGCAAGGCAGGGCTTCCTCCTCTAAAATAACCGCATTGACATTTCGTGGCAGGACACCTTGGTTTCAGGGGCTCCAGGTCCCTTTAAATGGGCTCCACCACTCCAGCGTCCCTCTGGCAATGGGCCTCACAAACCCCTGTTGAGGACCCACCTGTCACTGCGGCCTGCCTACCTGGGCTTATACAAGCAGCAGGAAAGTCGCTTGGTCTGCACTTTGTGGCCATGGATGAAGATCCTCATTCTGGGGTCTATGTAGAGGACGGCAGCATAGGCACGGAAGGAGCGGCGCTCCGGCTTCCTGTGGGGATCAGGGTCCCCTCCTTGCTCTCTCCTCAGGCCCACCAGTGGCCTCCCCACCCCCGAGGCAGGCAGTGGATTCTGATCCTGCCTCTCCCACTGACCGACGACTGACGTGGGCTTCTGGGTAAGTCACCCCTGCCCCCTCCCATCTTCTGGTCAAATGCAAGGCTTGGCCTAGACCCCTAAGGGAGAGTCTGCAGCTCTAGAAGGACCTTGGAGCCTGAGGGCAGAGGGCCTGAGTCTGCCACTCAAAGGAGCTGGGCAGGCTGTGTGAGCCGCATGGCCGGGGGCATGTTTCTGGGCCTCTCTGAAAAGCAGCTTCCTCCTCTACAAAGTGTGGTGGAATCCTCCTTTTCTGCTGACCTCCCCTGGAGGGACCACGCAGAGGACCCAGTGAGAACACACTCAAGTCCTACAGAAAAGGGAGGGGGAAGGAGCCTCTCTGCAGGGCCACACCAGCAAGGGACGCTGCCAGGCCCAAGTGCCTGTGCCCAGCTAGTGCCACCCCCCCCCCCCCGCCAAACCCACATTACTCACGTGCCCTCAGGGGACGTTTCAGCCATCTGGATGTCGCGGGGGTCCGACACAATGTCCAGCTCAGGCTCGCCATTGTCCGTGAGTTTGAGGTTAAAGATGATAACCAGCGTTCCTAGGAGCAGATGCCGGACACTGTTCATGCTGCCAGGGACTCAGGGCCTGCACCAAGCCCACACCCTCATGATCTATTTTCCCCGAGTGGCCAATCCTTCATCTCCTCCCAGCACAAGGCAGGGACAGAGCGGACAGGCCACCACTCCCCCCCCCCGCCTCCCCCGGGGGCATACAGGGGCAGTCCCATCCTCCTCAAGACTGAGGGTCACTTACCCGACTCCCCAGAGATCTTCTTAAATTGATCCATCACTTGCTGCTCTGATTTAAAGGGTGAATACTTATAGATGAGGTCAATCTCAGTGGAAAACTTGTCCATGTTTTCTGTAACGGGCTGGTGAGTACAGGCACTCCAGGTGGGCAGTGGTACAATCACCTGGACACCAGAAGGAAGAGACATGGCCCTTTAACATTTACAGGGTCTAGGCTGGGGGTAGAGCCAGGGGATAGAGGGGGAGCATGGCCCAGAAACGGACCTGGGCATGGTGCACGCTGACAAGGAAGCCCCGCCCCCTTCTGCAGCCACACATTCCCCCATAACCCATTCGGGAGGCAGCATCCCGCACGAGCATTCCCATTTTTGAGCAAAGGACAAGCCCAGATCCCCCAGCCCTGAGGTCAGTATCCGGGACCGCCCAGCAGGACCTGAATGCCACTTGACTTTCTATTGTTTTCCATTTATTTTGTATAGATGATCAACCCACTACAGACTGGTCAGCCCCTCATTCGGTGAGTCTGAGCTCCCCTCAACCTGTAGCTTCACTTGCCTATTGTGACATTTGAAAACTGATATTCCAGGATAAATTACTGACTGAGAATCGTGTCTAATCAGAATCAGTATTTGTGGAACAAATTCCCACTTGACTGTACAGGCCCCATTAGCATAATTTCCAAGAGTTTCATTTCCCTGTTTTTAAGGACCACAAGACTTCCCATCTGTGAGCTACAGAGGGAGGCAAGTCAAGCCGGTGCCAGGCTGTTTGCCCCCTGGGGGACTTTCCAAAGAAACCAAGTCAGAGGAGGCTGGCCCACCTGGCGAGGAGCCAAGCAGGCAGGAGTGAACCCCACCCGCAAAGCTGCTGTGTGAATGCTAGACAAGAGAGGTTCTGTCTGCCACACGTGCCCTTGATGACCAAGGGGTCTGGAATCCAAAGCCAGGCTAATGACCTGATCACCGTCACAACTTTGTGCCTCGGTTTCTCTTTATCACATATTTTCATTCTGGAATGTGCTCCCCCCTCCCCGCTTCTGGCTCCAAGCCCTGGGCTCTACTGACATCAGGCATGAAGGTGTGAGGCTGTAATAATGCTTCTGACTACAGCTGTGGGACACACATGGGGAAGGGGCAGCTGACCAGGGGGTCCCCCAGCTCCCTTCTTCCGGCCCCGAGTCTGGGAGACGGCAAACCAAGACGAAGTCAAAGGGACCCTCCAGGCTGACCCAGCCTGACAGAGTGTCTCCTCTGCCACATCCCTGTCTCCACAGCTCTGAAGCCCTTCAGTGACACGGAGCTCACCATCTGACCTGAGGCAGCTACAGAAGCTAAAAAACCATGGTACAGAGCTGGGGCCAGGCTCCGTCACACCCACGTGATTCGGTGGACCGGCCACAAGGACACGAGAGCTGAAACACCAGAGCTGGAAGGGCCCAGAAGCGGGCGCCTGCTCAAGGCCTCCTGCCTTGTCAACACAATGAGAGAAGTAGCTTCCTGGCCCGCTGTACCAGCTCAACCCAGAGGCAGGCCCAGGCTCCCTCTAAAAGCTACCTCGACACAGGCTTTCTATGATGCCAGAGGATGGATGCTCTCCCAGGGCCCAACTGAGAAGCCGACAACTCTCCTGGCCACAAACAGAGACCCGCTTCTGGTGACTACCATGTGCCAGGCAGCGTCCCCTCTCTGAAGTGCTCTGCCCAGGCAGACTCCTGGAGGGGCCGCACCCCAAGGCTGGGCCGGCTGAGTGTCCACATGTCACGGAACCTGAGCAGGCAGATCAGGCCAGCTGCGTCTGAAGGAACTCCCCAAAGCCAACCAGAAGTGTGCCTACCTCATCAATACCTTCTTCTTCATGAAATGTGCGAGACAGGAAGAGGCAGGTCATGGTATCACCCTTCTTGGTGAAGAGAATAAAATCCTTCCCAATACGCATGGACCCCCTGGAGAAGAGGAAACAAAACAACTCTCTTTAGACATAGAAAGGGGGTCTCCAAAAGAAGTCACACACACTCTCTCTCCTGGGAATCACGGAGCATGTGAGGGAAAACAGCGAGGGATGGGATGGGATGGAGTGGGGGGCTCCTCACTTCTCAGCGTCCTGAGGCTGAGCTCTCTGGTCACTGAAGCCATCTGGTGCAGGGAAAAGTAATAGTTTGAACCCAGGTTCCCTCCCAGCACCATCTCTGCATGGCTGCAGACTGGACTGCTTGGAGCCCCAGCCTTCTCAGAGGCAGCCCAACGCAGCTGAGCGAGGAGTGGGGTGGGGGGCATCGCATGCTGGCCCCTACCTTCTGAGGCCAGGGCCGGGGTGGAAAAGCGTATGACAAACATTGATCTCTGTTGGGACGGGAGTTACCACCATCCACCGTCAGCTCTTCCAAAGCACAAATTTTTCTTGCTGTTAACTCAGGTATCAGGGGATGTTCTCAGCATCATGGGAATTGGTTCTCTGTGATTTCTCCCCAAAGTGGGAATGTAGAAAATGGCACCACTTCACACTAAGTGCCCACTCGGGTGCGACCCTGCAAGTATCCACTTCCGGTCGCAGGTCCCGGGGCCGGGTGGGAGCCTGGGGGCCTCACGTGGGTCACTGTCTATGGAGGCATTTATCTGTATCCTACCTTGTAAGCGGTATAAAACCACGCCACCTTTTTTTATTAGTTTTCATCTTTTTTTTAGCATGTCACTCCATTTTTCCTATACTCTCTGTGCTTCTTCTGCATCTCGCATCGTGTGATGAGCTCTGGAAGCACACAGGTCACATTACAGCAGAACTGAACGTGCTAGGGAGTGGGTTCCGTGCACCCCCAGCAGCAACGTCTCACTAGGGCAGGAGATCCAGAGTGAGCTGACAAGCATCTGGTCAGTTGGCTGTCCTTCATTCGCGAAGACGACCAAAGTGACATCGCTACGTTGGGGTCAGGGCACGGTGCGTCCCAAGTTGCTGATCAGACCGATGCCAGCCTGGAGGCTCCACCACAGGGTGGGCCCACAATCCACGCGAACATTTCAGGTGGATTCTCTACATCTGCGCATCTCACATTTCCTTTGAGCTATTTCAATTCTGTTTCCCTCATAGAGCACACCACACCGGATGGTCCTGTGCTGGCGTCTCCCGCGTCTCACAATCAATTCCAGTTCTTCAGAGAGGCCCTGAGGGTGTCCTTATATTTCTTCTTCTGACCTCCATGTGAGCGCCTGCCTCATGTCTATAGAACGGTGTGGTTCTGTCAAGGGGAGGAAGCCACGTTTCCACCTCCACCTGTGGATGCCATTGGGCTAATGCGACGGTACCGTCCACAATCCCATCCTCGTCCTTCGGGAGTCCTCCATAGGGCCCACCAATAGGAGGCGCGCAGAGCACCCAGACACCTTCCTTGTGTTATCTGTCGGATCCTGGACTCACCCTTTCTACCTCTATGAGTCATGCTGCTCATATCCCTGCCTCTTCTCTCCATTCACACAGTGACCCCCTGGGCTCAGATCCTTGTCTGGCCTCACATCTCACACGGACTGATTCCATGGGCCCCTGCCCACTCTAACGGGTGTCGCAGCTCTCTCCTCCTCCTTAACTATCAGGGCTCCCTATGGCTGCTGGACTAAACACGAATGCTTCTGTTTCGCTCTGAAAGCTCTTCCCAACCCACCCAGCCCGTCCTTCCAACTGCACTGGTCACTGAGCCTTCCTTTACACATAAAAGACTTTATACGATAGTGGGCCTGTCGAACGGCCTCAGGGAAAAGCTGGGCTGCCGACTCCTCCTGCCTTTATCAGACACACCGCCACATCTGTGACCTTCAGTCTTGTGGTGGTTCTGCACCAATAGGAGAGGCAGTGTCTGTGGTCCTGGTTGCCTTTGGGAGGGAGGGGAAGCAAAACCCTGCCAGATATTCAATATACTTACAATAGTCCCAACTTGAGAGCATCAAGGAGGCCAAATGACTATGCTCTCCCCCCTTTTGCTGATGGAGATATGGACATCTTAGGTCGGAGGCAGAGCCTGGCCCCAGAGCTCTTCCCACTGGGCCATGCTATTGGCCCGACTCAGCTAAGCAGAGCTCCTGCGTGAGAGTAGCTGGGTAGCCACCCAGCTCCTGGGCTCTTTCCACACTCCTGGGGTCTAGGTGAACCCCAGCCTGCAAACACACAACCTTCGTGGAGGCCACCTAGGAAGCAGTGTCCCCCGCAACCAATGGTTTTAAACAAAACACACTTCAACAACTTTCTCTCAAGAACTTCACAGGACCCCTAGCTGGCTTCCAAATAAAGATGTCTGGGCCTGTCTGAATTGTCTCCCACTCCAAAGATGGTCAAGAGGAATCAATGATAAAGTGTGGAATTTAGTGACTTAGTGGAGGCTGAGTGGGGAAGAGACAGGAGGATGATGACAGTCTTCCACGTGGAAATCAGCGGCATTTTGAGGTCTCTGAGCTGGGGCTGCTCCAGCACTTACGATTTTAAGCCGTTGCCATACTGCCCAATCTGCATGGATTCGGGGGTCCGCTTGGCTGACTTCCCAAACTGTATGACGCTGGCGGCATCACCTGAAACACGAGACATCAAAGGAGTGAGAGGAGAACGGGGCTCCCAAAGCATCTGGACAGGCTCAAGCACTGCGCTCAATCAAAGTCGAGGAAATCCCAGGGGGATAAATGTCAAGGCTTACAGTTGAGTTCCACAAACCAACTTCTGAGCGCAAGGTGTGGGGAGGAGCCAGTAGGGTAACGGTAAAGGTCACCTGTGGATCAGTCTTAGAGCCTGGGCTCCTTTCTGGGCCCAAGGTAAGCTGGGGCATTCGCTGATAAGCTGCAAAGTATCCAAAGACGGGCGATCGGAACAGTCAAAAGGGATGTCTGGCCTGGAGAGGCCTTGGGGTTGGTAACCTCAGCAAGGCTTTAACAACCATGTGTATGCTAGGCTTCCCCCCAACAGGCAGGATTAGGGGTCATGGAAAGGGGGGGGCCATAAAGAAGCAAATGGGAAGAAAGGAGGATGGGCTGCCCAGGAGAAGATGGGCCCCCCCCCCGACGAAAGATCACGTGTTATCAGCACGCATGGGGATGTCACCGAGGGGGCAGAGGTCTGGGCTGGCCAACTCCGATGTTTCCCAACTACTCTAGATGAACCTCAGTCTGAGACACATCTCAACAAGGACCAGAGAACTTTAAAGCTCTCCACAGACTGAGTCACAAAAGGCTCACTTTCAAACTCCACCTCCAACACTCAGCACATGTGCGACCCAGGGCATGACACTCTTGGCTCTGAGCCTCGACTTCCCCATCTGTAAGACAGAGAGTCACACGCCCTTCTCTCACAGGCTGGCCATGAGGAGGGCACTCTGTAAGCCATGAAGCGCTACCGATAAGGAAGGAAGAAGCCCTGGCTCAGAGAGGTCAAGGGAAGGGCCCCGAGTCACACAGAGAGCCGGGGCAGGCCGGAATCAGGCCACTCATCCCCTGGCTCCTGTTCAGTGTTGGCTCTGCTTAGGACTGGCTTCCTCGTCACACTTTACATTATTTGTTGTGCAGACTGACCACGACACAGCAGCAAACAAAACCGCCTCCCATGTTTCTGGGCTCCCTCACACAGCCCCAATAAGGTGGATTTATCATTGAATGACCAGTGCCGGCAGGGTCCTCCCCCACCAGCGCCCCTTGACAGTAATCGGAGGACGCGCCCTTGGCTTCTGTGCCCAAGGTCAGTGAAGGCCCGGCCTCGGTGTGCCAAAAGGGAAGATTCTACCAATGCTGTGCTGAGGACGACCTTCGGAGACCCCAGACAGGACCTGGTGACCCTTTACGACAGAGGCTCTTAACATGGGACCAAGAACTTGGATAGGAAAAAAACGTATCCTCGTTTTCACTGACATTTGGCTTCCTCTGTAATTCTGTGTGTCCCAGTTTATGCAGCACAAACCATGATTCTGAGAAGGGGTCCTGCTTTAGAAGCTAAGGCTAGGTGCCTGCTGCTCTAGCCCCCCAGGGGGCCTTGACTCCCCTGTGAGCTGTGCTTTGGGGGGGGTCACCCCCATTCCCGCCTCCCCCTAGTCACTTACTTGGATCCATTCCCGCGCCATCATCCAGAAAGCAGAGCATGAAGCCTCCCTGGAGGTTGTCCTGGCGCTCTGTGAAGAAGCATCACGACAGTCAGAGGTCAGTGGACAGCAGCGTGAGGCAAGAAAGCAGCCCACTGGTCCTAAGACAGCCCTGGAGCTGAAGCTCTCACCAGGGGACCTCTCCACCCTTTTCAGACGGCCAGCGTCTCAGTGGCATCAAACGGGGCCATCGGCATCTCAACACAGACCCTGTCAAGACCTGGTCATGCGGCACGGGAGACTTCCCCTGACCCTGGTGTCACAGACACCACCACAGCAGCCCAACTCTCACCTCCCAGGCCCCACGCTGGGCCTGCACCAGCTAGACCATGGCGCCACCTCCCACATCTCCCCACAGAGCGAAGGAGGCAAGGGGCAGCTCAGAAGATTGCACAGAGCCAGTATCCCCACCAGAGGGCACGGGGAGGCCGACCACGGCCAAACCATCCCTTCTCAATGTTGCTCTGAGAGGAGGAGCAGGCAGAGCCCAAGATGGGATTCAGGTCTCCTGGGGAAAAACAGCCAGCTCCCTAGCTTCTCCAGCAAACTGACTGAAAGCATCTCTACCATGGTGAAATCCGAGAAGCTGGGCACCAACAGCCCGAGCACAAAACTGGCCAGCCTGGAACAGGGATCTGCAACCTGCCAGCCATCACTGACCTGGAAAAGCCAGGCAGCTCAGGAGCACATCGGCACCAATGTGAGGTGGGAAGCAATTACTGGGTGGGCCCTAATGGGCAAACAGGATCATCAGTAGGGTCATTGGTCACTCTCTGAAGGCCAGTGGCGAGTCTGCCCACTGACATCCCCATAACTGCTGCTGGCCCTTGCACCTTCTACCACTTGTCCATCTAGCCAGCCCTCCCTCTCCTTGGAATTAATTCCTCCTTCAGGTTTTGATTTCTCCTACTTTAAGCTTTTATTGTGTAGTTTTGTTCTGTTGTTTTTCGCTTTTTAGAAATTGTTTGTTTGAGAGGGAAAAAGAGGAACCTCAGAGGGCATCTGGTCCAGGCGCCACCCTCCCACTCCTAACAGGAAGCTCAAAAGCCTCCCCAACCAAGATACCGTTCTGCAAGACCTCCAGTGATGGGAAGCCCCTTCAGCTCCCCAGGCTGCCTGCACCAATCTTGACTCTCATCAGCACCTTCTTTCTCACATTAGACAGATGGCCCTGGCAGCTTCTGTCCTCCTCCTGCTTCCACTTGCCAAGCCTTTCCATCCCTATCCAACCATCCTCTGCCTTGGGCACGCCTTCCCTTTTCCAGACTAAACGTGTTGTGTTTCTTCCAGCCATTCCTGGTATGACGGGGTTTCCACCTCCCTATGATTGGGCCAGTTCAAATCCTGGCTGCTACCAACAGGCTGGCCATGCCCGGGACAAGGGACGCTCCCTCAGCTGTACGTCAGGATGTACCAGAACCTGACTGCATGTGCACACGCGTGTGGACCTCTGTCTAGAATTCTGCACCTCAATTCCTTGCCCTCCACATCCCACGCAGAAACTCACGCTGGGAAAGGGAGCACCTGGAACTGAGGACATGCCCTGCTCTTCCTCGAGGCCACCATCCAAGACTGGCAGGTCTCCTGCTCTCTTCCTCGGCCCCTTGGTAAGCACTAGGCTGCTCATCCATAGCGCTCTATAGCCACACCTCACGAACGTCTCACTGGCCTACTGCAGGCCTTCAATTAAATGTTTAGTCGAGTAAAATTATTTGAAACCTAGTCCAAGACAGACTAGAAATCATATCCCTGCTCCCAAATGATGCCATTAATAGAGTGACGAGAGCCTGGGAGAAATCCAAATCAGATGCAATATAGAGGAAGGAGGGCAGAAAATGCCCCAAATTTCCTTCCAGAAGCAACAAACTATTGAGAAAAGAAAAATATCTGAAGGCCCAAAGTGGGTCACAGGGTCATCGATTAGAGCTAGGAATTTCAGAGGTCACCAGTTTTGCTGTATCTCTACAACAGTGACACTGGGGAGAGTTAGGGCTGCCTGTATCCCCGCCCGGCTAGGGGCTGAGGTGCAGCTTTGGCACTGGCCATGGTGGTAGGGCCAGGAGGGTGGATGGGACACTGTCCCAGTCTAGGGTCAGTAGGGTCCGGGGGGGGCAGCCTCTCTACAAGGAAGAGAAGCACTTGAGGGAATGAGGCCTATCCCAAATGGTAATCAAATTTAACATTACTTCAGAGGGCTTGTTAACGGACTTCCCAGACCAAAATGGGCTTTCTGGCCAACAAGCGTACGGCATTTAGAAAAGATCTCCAAAGGCAGGAGATGCCACACTTTAGTATTTGTACTTCCCTGGAGGCAGCTGTGTTTTGCCTTAGATAAGAGTATCAGACCTGGAGAAAGGAAGAACTGACTGCAATCCAGCCTCAGTCACTTCCTAGCTGTGTGACTTTAGGCAAGCCACTTAAACATGTCTGCCTCAGTTTCCTCAACTGGAAAATGTGCATAATAATAATAGCACCTACCCACCAGGGTGGTTGTGAGGATCAAATAAGACCATATCTGTAAAGTGCTGAGCACAGTGTCTGGTTCACAGGAGGTGCTTAATAAATGTTTATTCCCTCCCCTTCTCCGGCATATAGTAATTGTTGATAAATGCTTTTTTATTCATTCATACATAAAGATGGTCTCTGGGCCTCAGTTTCTTCCTCCATATAAGGGGACTGAACTAGAATGGTGCTTAACCTGAGGTTTGAGGACTTCTCTTTTTATTTTTGGGATAACTATTATTTCAATATAATTAATTTACTTTGTAATCCTATTTTTAAAATTTAAATCCTTTTCAAACGTTCTGAGGCATCGGCCAGGCTTCCGGAGCCCAGGGCAAGTTTTAACAGGCCTTCTCTCTGAGGCATTGGTTAGTGCCAACGGCTTCCTCGACACTGGAGATCACCCCCAGCCCAACCCTGGGCCAATCTGCGCCACACCGGGATGCGGCTCTACCTACTTCGGGCCCTTTAGCAAGGCAGCAAGCTCCCCAAGGACAGGTCCTGGTCATGTTCAATTCCCTTCTATCATCTGGCTGGGCAGGCACTCACGTGCCCTGGGATCAAACTGCTCTTGCACCTGGAGCTCTGCATAACCCGGCCCCAGCCTGTGTTGGCAGGCTTTTTACACACTCGTGCCCTCACGCACATAGGCTTCAAAGACTCGGCGGAGCCTTATGAGGTGCCATCGTGGCGAATACCTTCTAAAATTTAATTTTCATTTTGGTCATCAACAATCACACGCAGGAGGGGCGTTGCATTTTCTGCACGTTTTGGTCAACTGTAAAAGTAAAATGTTATAATTGCTGAGAATTGTTAGTAAGAGCCTGCCTCTTCCCTTACGTTTTCATCAAGGACATCCTCAAAATGCTGTTCAGATCATTATCATCCTGATTTCATAAAGAAGAGAAAAGCACAGAGATTGTGGCAACTGACATACTCTCAGTGGCCTTTTGGGTAGGACTCTGCGATTTCTGCCAATCTTTCGTCTCCTTCCCCAGCTGAGCCACCCTGTAAAGTGACTCCTCCACAGCTTCATGATGGTGCTGCCTCCCAGACTGATGACCTCTGTGTATCCATGGTCTGGTCCAGCTGCAATTCCCACTTTCTTCAAGGCCTCGATGGCCCATCCCCTTAACAACATCTGTTCCATTTTCTGTCCTTCTGTTCTCTTTCCAGCTTCACCCATGAAAGATTCCAATCTTGGAGTGGCGGGATGCAGCGGGGTCTCACATCAACATTTCTCTTCCCTTGTTTCTGCTTCCATGGCTTTCGGCAGTTTTATAAAACAACACTTCTTGGAATCTTCCCCAGTGTCCCACAACGAGCTTGCATTAAGCCAACATTGCCTTTATGGGCGTGCTAGTAAATATTTGTCGGCCATCAGCTTCTGGGCTCTTTCGTCATTTTGTCATTAACAAGGCCGATATCTCTGCCCTTTTCTATTTTCCAATTTTCAGCATCAACAGCACATTTGAATGGAAATTTCAATGAGATTATTCACACTGCCTTCTCATCCAGAGCTTTTCTTCTAAGTTGTCATTATGACCTTTGTTCTAACTAGTCAATGCACAAATATGACCAATTCTAATGTCACTTTTTGCACTGGCAACTTGGTCACGTTTGTCCGTTAAAATAGTCAATTTCCTTTTTTTGTTGTAGTGTTACTCACTGTTCTCCACATCTAGCACTGAAAGAAGGAATTCTTGAAGGCCGTGTAACAGAAGAACCAATAATCTTCCCAGAAGGCCGATGATGGCACATGCCTTATCCTCAACACCCTGTGCAGGCCACGCAGTAGGAGCTGCTTCCTCCTTAGTCTTCCAATGCTGTCACCATCCGCTGCATCTGCCAATCGAGTTCTGAGTTCTGTCAGCGTTCTGACTCTGCTTGTTTGCCTCAGTATCTACAAGTCTCCATTTTCCTCTGCTTGCCATCATGAGTATCAACATCCCTGCCCTGGGGACTCCCTGGTCTCTTTCCCCTTCCTTTTGTATAGTGTCTTGCCCCATCAGATTGCAAGCTCCTGGAGGGCAGGGACTGTCTTTTGACTCTTTGTATCTCCAGCACTTAGTACAATGCTTGTTTGGCATACAGTACATGCTTCATAAATGTTTACCGAACTGAATTACTTAACTCCACCTCTCTATCCAGACCCTATCAAGGCCCGGTAACGTGGCACAGGTGAAAGGCTCTGACTTTGATGTCCCAGACTCAGAGACGGAAGGAACTTCAGAGGGCATGTGGTCCCTGCCCACCTGCCCTTCCACCTGGTGAACAGGAAGCTCAACAACCTCCCCAAGACAGGTTCTACGTGAAGACCTCCAAACTAACACAAGACGTTTATACTCTTTGGCCTGAAGTCTGCCTGTGTTTCTCGGAGTCTGTCCCATTTATAATGACACAATATTCCATTACATTCATATCAATCAATAAGCATTTCTTAAGCACTCACTATGTACCAGGTACAGTGCTAGGCCCTAGGACACAAAGGCAAAATCATGGTCCCTGCCCTCAAGGAGCTTACATTTTAATGGGAGGGACAATGTACCAATAACTATGTATATTATTGGGAGGTAATCTCAAGGGGAGGGGCTGTATTAGGCTCCTGCTATGTTCCAGGCACTGTGCTAAGTGCTGGGAATGCAAATAAAAGCAGAAAGAAAGTCAAAGAACTCCCACTCCATTGGGGAGACAACACATAAAAAGAAAAGGGCGGGGCAAGTGGAAACAGTAGCTGGCACCGGCACCCTGGCTGAGGGCAGAAGTCAGGGCTGGCCCGAGGACCCTCCTTAGATGGAGATCCCAAGAGGAGCCATCCTTCAGATGGGAAGGCCAGAAGGGCAGAGCAGACTTCCAGGGGATGATTCCAGGGCTGGCGTGAGATTCCAGAAAGAAAACCAAGTATGGAGAAAAAATGCAGTTGGCTAAGGACTCCTCAGAAAGTGAGATCTGAGCTGAGTCTTGAAAGAAGCCCAGAAGGGGAAGAGAGAGAACACCCTGGACATGCAGGCATTCATAGACATAGCTAATTTGTCCATCTCCCAATGGATGGGCCCCAATCTTGTTTCCAGTTCTTTGCTAGTACAAACAATCTTGAACATATGGGTCCTCTCTCCGCCCTTTATTTCCCTGGGATATATGCCTAGTAGTAGTATCACGGGGTCAAAGGGTATGCACATTTGAGTGACTTTTGTATACAATTCCATATTGCTTTCTAGAAGTGGGCCTTGTTCTACTACTACCTCTCCAAAAATCACCAAATTCCTTCTGGTCATCTTTACCTGTCTAATGATTAAAGTAGAATTCCAGAGGAGATACCAGGTAGAACGATTTTTTTTAACTCCTTCATTATATGTGTTTGTATGTGTATACATATATATCCATATCCACACACATAAAAAACCCCCCAAACCTGTGTATAAACTCTTATCTAAGCCTTATTCTTTGTTGAGTATAGAAATGTTTATGTCTGTTGACGATGGTGATATTCTTAATAAAAAAGAATTTAGAAAAAAAGGCAACAGTAATATGGTCTTCAGGATCGTTAGGTGTGAGGATTCTGAGCAACAGACAGGCCTCAGGTCTTCTCCCAATTCTCTGACAGTCTGGGCCATCCTCTCCCTGTGCCCGCCTTCATATGAAAGTCACCCAAGTATCTGCTGCCCTGATTTGGAGGATCCTGCCACGCTCTTTAAAAGAGTCCCCCTAAATGATATCCAGCGCTCCATCAGGTGATGCTTCTCCCCTCTGGGCACAGGGGGAAGCCAACCCTGCCACTTCTGCCTCTCAACAGAGAGGGAAATCAGCCCCCATGTAGGTGGAGCTTTTGGGGGGGGGGGGCGAGCAGTCTTCTGTGTTTATGCAAGATAATGTCAGGATCGCACCGCCTCCTTCTCAGTGCATGGGGGAGGGGTGGGGAGAGAATTTGGGTCTCAATTTTTTTTAATGTTCTAATAATTTTTTAAAAAGAGAATCAAGGTCACTCAGTTGATTCCTTCTAACACTTAAGTTAATGGATGAAGATCACAGGATCATGGATTTGGAGCTGGGACCTTAGAGGCAAGGGAGTTGGTAATGTCACTTGCCGAGATCAGACAGATAATAAGTACGGGGAGGGGGCCTCTATGAAGATGAAGGGGCCTGGACTAACGGGCATCTCTCCCAGGCCTTCCCAATGAAAGTTCCAGATTCCAGAGCTCCTTCCACGATGACCACGATCACCTGCTACTCACCAGTGGACAACTGGGCCTCGGCAGCCTACCTCTCAAGCGGCAAAGCGCCCAACCACCTCTTTTTTCTTGGCTTCTTCTTCTGGAACAAAAACAAAACTGGGCTCTTTTCACCATGGCGTCAGAGCTAGTTTAGATTTTCAGGAGTCAAACCCGGGGCAGCTGCCCAAATGCATAGCACACCTCCTTTGCTGCAGGCAGAGAAAGGGGAAAACTAAGCTCCATTTGGGGAGGCTCGTCACCATGAAAGAAAGATAATGAGACACACAAGTGACTATTGGCAGGGCACTTGTCACAACGAAGTTATCAAGGAGATCACTCTGTAAGTCACCATACAGTCTTCAGCTCTCAAAATCTCATTAATTCTGTTCAAAACTACTTCAAACCTCTCAGAGCCACTTATAGCGGGTTACATAAAGCACTTTTAGCGCACTGTCCTCCTCGATCCTGAAAAGGACTCCACTGGATAGATGCCATTATCCTCATTTTACAGATGAGGAAACTGAGGCGCCAGGATCATACAGTTAGCATGAGAGTCAGCATCCAAGTCTTGCAGCTTCCATTAAACCACACTGTCTCTTCCACAGGAACCATTCTTCAGGGAAAAACAAATGACACAGGCCACACAACATCTCAAAGCTGCCCTTTTCTGCTCCCTTTCCAACTTTTCATTGCTCAAATGATAAAGATGGAAAGGTGCCCATCCGAACACTCAAGCAACGGGCAGGATGCAAAGTAATAAATAACAACATTGAGATCCTTCATCTCTACACCCAGTCGGGGGGAAAACAACATCACTGCAGAAGGACAGAGCCAACCACACACAAAGATGACCTGGAAATCCTAGGCCAAGGGAGCTATCTCCCTCCCTGCTGGGGCCAGAGACAACTCTTGGCCAGTCAACGATCTGTTCCCCCACGCCCGCAGATGCTGAGGACCCAGGGAGCCAAGCATCCGGCCATCATGCTCGGAAGGCCTCTAGAGCAGGACGACTTGGTTCTTACCACAGCAAAGGAGCACAAGGACAAGTGGAGCCTTGGGAGGCCTTTCTTGGCTGCGTTTCTGCTTCTCCCGTCACGTCCCTGCCCAGCCAAGGCCTGGACACTTCACTTTCTCATGGACCGGCTGGCTACCTCGCTGGTGGACCTTCTGCCTCAATCTCTTGAATTTCTCTTGATCTCCTATGACTATCTGCACGATCTTTGGACCCTTCATCTTGCTCTGTGGTGCTTAATGTATTATTTAATCTCTGAGGCTGACTTATTGCCATTCAGACTTTACCTTGGTGGACACAATTTTCCATAAAGGTCATCTGGTTCAACGCCTTCATGTGACAGATGGAACAACAGGGGTGTGGGGATGTTAACTGACTTGCCCACAGTCACACAAAGAGTAACCAGCAGTCCTCCATTGAAACCCAGGCCCCAGGCATTCCAAATCCAGTGTTATTTCCAAGACAACATGAATTCAAGCTAACTGTTCCTTTTCTTTTTCCCACCCTCTCCTTTTTCAGGCCCAGCAATGACTGCATAAGAAATGGGTCCTGGAAGACTGAACATTTGGCTTACCTGCATAAATATCTATTCTGGTGGCATCTGCATCTCTAAAAAAGAGAGAGAGAGAGAATCAGCATGTAAAGCAGGGCTATGAAGCAAGCTCCCCTCAGCCCAGCTTTCTGTCTGCTCCACCACTTCCCAGTGGCTGACCACCTGGACTTCAGGATCTCCTGGACTCAGCACTCAGCAACTCTGAGCATTTCTATAGCAGATGCTTCATAAATATTTGCTGACCCTGACTCTGGTAGGGGACAGTTACAAGGACTGCAAACATACATGGTGCCAAGATCTTGCAGCTGACTGCTCCAGTCAGCAAAAGGCCTTGCCTTCATACCTCTGAGGTACTAGGCTCTCAGGTGTGGGATGAGACAATGGGACACAATGAGGCCCTAGCACATCTTGCAAACTGCTTCATAGTGGGAACATTTACAAGACGATTAAGATAAGCTTTCTTGATGTGTCACAAAATGATTCACCTATGAGCCTCTTAGATGTTCAGTTGTGTTTTTGTAAATTAGAAAGCATAACATATCAGCAGTCCTATGTGGTTTGTTATCAAGATCCTGGCCAGAAAGCCAGAGGAACAGAAAGTCAGATCCGAAAGGGCCCTTTAGGGGAGGTCCAGGGGCCCAGGAAGAAGCAACTGGCATTGAGGCAGGCAGCAGCAAAGATGGGAATCAAACCCAGGTCCTCCACGCTTTTCTTCCCCAATCTACCATGCTTTCCCATGGCTTAGTGGAGAACTCTGTTGCCAAAGTTTAATGGAAAAGCAGGTCACATGGACAGTGCCTGGCAATCAGCACCGTCACAAGAGCTCATCTCATTTTCCACTGACCCTGAAAAGCAGGCGTCTCTCCAGTTCAGCTGAGCTCGAGTCATAGCATTCAGTCACCAGGGCAACCACCCAGAGAGGGCCTGGGTCAAACCGACTCTCACTCTGTAGGACACAATCCTATTTAGAGCCGAGAAGACCAGACAGGTTGGTCATTAACCTCCAACACCTTCATTATACAGATGGGCAGAGAAACAAATGGCTCATTAAGTCATCTGGGTTTTAAAAAAAAAATCAACTTCAGGAATCCCAGACGGAGAAAACCTGCCTAAAGAGCAGTCTGTACATGGGGGAGGGGGAACCACTCAGGTTTGGTTTGGTTTTTCAAACAGACTGAAGTCAACAGTGTGACACAGCTTCCATCCCAGAAGACATTAACAGAAATGTGTGGAGAGCCAAGCTTCAGGGATGCCGCCTCTGCAGGGCTCAGCCCCCACTGTCTTCAGCTTGAGGCAGGGTTAGAAAACTGCCAGGAGGCAGTGGGACCTGAAAGCCACATCCTGTGAGGAAGAGCTGAAAGAACAAGGGAGCTTTCCCTTAAGAAAAGCCTTCAGAGCGACCTGATCACTATGTTCAAATACCTGGAGAGCTGTTCTGAGGCAAGAGGCTGAGACTCTCGTGGGGGGCACACCAAAAGTCACCCTGAGGCAGAGTCTGACTGGTTCCTGCGGAGGAGGCAGCTTAAGTCCTGCCTAAACAGGTGGAACCATCCCCTTAGAGAATGGGCTTTGGGAGGCACTGAGCCCCTTCTGCCTGGAGCTGTTTTGGCCCATGCTAGATAACCACATGCTGGGAACCTGTACTACAAAGAGGATTCTTTTATGGGACAGAAGGCAGGGCTAATTCTCCAAGGTCCTTTAAATGCTCATTATTATAGGATTGTGGCTGGAAGAGACCTTAGGTACCATCCAGTCCAGTCAATAAACACTTACAGAGCACCTACTATGCGCCAGGCATCGTGCTGGGCACTGGGGACAAAGAAAGGTAAAAGACAGCTCCCGCCCTTCCTACTTGAAGAGGATCAACATGACATCTCCACATCAAAACCACAGTACAGTGTATGTGACTGTGGCTGATCGCACCAATACAAGCTCAGAAGGCTCTACCACAGGTCGGGCACAAAATAACTGTGAATGCACCAGTCACAGCACATCTAGGAACCACTCAACTGAAGGAAGGGGTTGGGAAAGGCTGCCCGGACAAGGTCGGATGTCAGCTGGGACTTGAAGGAAGCCAGGAAAGACAGGAAGCGATGAGAGGGGAAGAGTATTTCAGGCACAGGGGACAGTCAGTGAAAATCCCCAGAAGGGAGAGGTAAGAGTCTTTTCTCAGGAATAACCAAAAGGCCAAAAGGCCAGTGTCCATGGAGGGAAGGTGGAGGGCTGTAAGATCTAAGAAGACTAGAAGGGGGGGAGTGCTAGATTATGAAGGGCTTTGAATGTCAACAGGATTTTATGCTCCATCCTGGAGGCACAGGGACTGAAATTAACGGAGTGCCTTGGCTTTAGGAAAATCACTTGAGTGGCTGAACAGAAGATGGACTGGAATGGGGAGAAAACTGCGGCGGGCAGAATCACCAGCTGGCAACTGCAACAGCCCAGGCGTGAGGAAATGAGGGCTGGTACCAGGGAGAGGGAAGCGTCAGGAGAGAGAAAGGCGCATCTGTGAGAGATGTCACCAAGGCAAAATGGACAGGCTCTGACAACAGACTGGGCATGGGGAGTGGGAGACAGTGAGGAGTCAGTCTAACGCTAAATAAACCCCTACTGCGAGCCAGGTACAAATACAGAACAGGAAGTCAGTCGTTGCGAGAGCCAGCCACATCCTCCATCAACATCTCCCCAGCATTCCTGTAGTCGGCATGGATCCCAGTGGAGCACGAGGGCTGCCTGTCACGGGTTCTTCATGCTCACTGCCAAGCCAGCCCACCTTCTTTTCTTGGTCACCTCTTTTTTGGGATGGTTTACTGCTTCTGCTGGGTGATTCTTCTCATGCTCACTATGCACCTCTCCATCACTCTTCAACTCGAACTCTTCGGAGACTGCGGGCAGACAATGGCCTCACCATATGGTGTCAATACTGGAATACTGCTGTTTGGGGTCATTAAGGGCACGGAACCATTGTCAGAGCACGAGTCCTTTTGTTGTTCAGTCATATCCAACCCTTCATGACCCTAGTTGGGGTTGTTCTTGGCAAAGATACTAGAATGGTTTTGCTGTTTCCTTCTCCAGCTCACTGTACAGATGAGGAAACTGAGGCAAACAGGGTGAAGTGACTTGCCCAGAGTCACACAGGTAATAAGTGTCTGATGCCAGATTTGAACTCAGATCTTCCTGACCCCAGGCTCGGCGCTCTATCCACTGCACCACCTTGCTGCCTCCTACTCATATTTAAACCTAGTTCTTTGTCTATCTGCAGCACCTGTCCAATAAACATTCTTTATCCACTTAGTTTTTCCTATGTAGATACTTAGGCAGAAGTCTTTTGAATGGCGTGTGCATCTCACTGAGAAAGTTCTGCAATATTCCAAGGCCTGATCTCATCACCGCCCAGACAGACTCAGCAACTCCCTTCTGACTGGAGGGCTGGAGGATGGAGGCGTAATCGCCTCCCAAAGCCTTCCTTTATAGAGGGAACTCCATTTTCCATCAGCAGCTGTGCATGGTTTCCACTCCAAGTGCCATGTTGGGGGTGTCCTCAGTGACTGCTCCCACCCTGCTTTTCAGCTTCCTTTCATGTGTTGTCTTCTTCAGTCTTTTTTTTTTCCTTACTGGTGCTAAGCAGTGCCTGGCATATAGTAGGTGCTTAATAAACATTTACCGAGCTGAAATCGAACTGACCAACATGTTTACCTGTAAATGGCGCTGCCTGAAATCTCTTCCATGCGGACTATGACTTAATCATCCCTCATAACAGTGGCCAACACCTCTGCTTTTATAACTCATCTGATGGGAGCAATACAAAGCCATTTCTTCTACATCTTTCAGAGAATCTTCTATGACTGACATATACATGGGAGACATCTTGATGGAAGAAAGCTTCATGGTCTAGATTTTGTTCCACCACATAAGTTCTTAACCTGCAGGTTATGAAGTCTTTTTTCTTGTCTTTTGATAAGTGTTTTTCAATATAATCAGTTTCCTTTTACGCACTTTACGACATGATTCCGAGATGTCCACGGGCTTGGCCAGGCTGCTACATGAGTCTGCATCCCAAAAGGACCTCTGTTCTTCAGAATCTTTTTTTTTTTTGGCAGTAAAAACAATGAACACAGTAGAATCATAGCATCTCTTTGTATCTGGTCAATCTCATGACTGTGAAGATGAGGCGTGCCACAGAGCACGGCTTGTGTAAGCCTCCTGCTCCCTTCTCATACCTTCATGAAGACCAATTTTGATAATGAAACTGGCTGAGCTTGGACAGATGATGAAACCTGCCTCCTCCTCTCAATGGAGGTGAGGGACAGATGCGGTCAGTGGCCATTGGCTGGGTCAACTAGTTCCACTTAGTTGACTTTATTTTCCCTTATGGGGATGAGATGGCTGAGAAATGACTGAAGTATAGAAACAAAAAATAACCACTCAAAGGAGGCCCTAGATGCATCCTCAGGACAATCCAAGATTATCCTCGAGAATTCTGCAGTAAAAGCCTGTGGGTTGATTGTTGGTTTGCTTTTTTCTGTGTTCGTTTTTTTGGGCTAGGCAATGAGGTTAAGGGACTTGCCCAGGGTCACACAGCTCCTAAGTGTTATGTGTCTGAGGCTGGATCTGAACTCAGGTCCTTCTGACTCCAGGGCTGGTGTTCTATCCACTGCGCCACCTAGCTGCCCCTTGATGTTGTTTTTTAACTGCCTTATTGCAGCAATCAGGTCCACAAGTTTTCTCCCCTTCAGTTGTCTTGAGAGCTGGTTCCCAAGCACCCCCAATTCCTGTCATGCCCTCTGTTCCAATACAGCTTCTCTCTCATCTTTGTTCGTGATTCCTCATTCAGGATGCCACAATACTGAGGTGAGATCCAAGGTGGTAGCTCCACTGCCCCTGAAGGTCTGTTGTGGAAAGCTTGGATTTTTGCTTCCCATCCATACACTTCCTTCCTTCCAAGTTCACCCTTAAAAACTCTAGAAAGGGTGAAGTATGGTCAGCATGAAGTGGTTCCCTGTTAGTCACGTTTTGAGACTGACTTCTACGTAAAGACATCCAGATGGAGACGTCTAATAGGCAGTGGGTCCACGTAGGCACTCACAGACCCATCAGGGCCGGATCCATAGATATGGGAGTCTTCTGAGAAAGATCCCTGAATGTGGCATTATCAGGAGAGGCATTTGATCTGACTAGTAGGGATCTACTGAGAACCGCATGTTTTCCACAAGAATTGCCGTGAAGCCAGGTCTTCCCTACTCCAAACCAAAGTTGGGGCACTGGACAACCAGAGGGCAGAATGAGCAAACAGAATCATGGGGGATGGGAAGAGAGGACTGTAGTAGTTAGGTATAGGGCCTAGAAGAGCAGAGTCGGGGAGATGCTCCACACCAAATGTGACGTTTTGTCTGCGGCTCAACCCTCAAGTGCCCACGCAAACTGAACACCTAAAAATGGGGCACTGCAAGACTCTAAAAATAAATTTGTGTATTTAGCCTAGTCTACTTACTAGGGCAGAAAAAGGACTCATAACACGTGAACACATTTTCAACAAGAATTAAAAGGAAAAGGTATTTTTGGTCAAAGCCTCAGAGCGTTCACAACTCCTTGAAAGAAATTTTTCTGTTATAGCTACAAGGAGAAAACCATTAGCAAACATAGACAAGGGCTGTTTACAAGCATGTCCACCGTCAACTCTAACTCTATCCCTTGGGCTAAGCTCTTCTGCCTCCACTGGAGTCATTAATGCTGGTGGACAAATGTTTGGCTTGTAATCAACATATGTGTATATGGTCTAACTCTATTTAAGAGAACAAGTAACTATCCTTCATAGTATAACAAAAAAACAGAACTCCCACTCACCTTGCTTTGGAGGGCAAAGGTGAGTGAGTTAACAAAGATAACCACAACCCAAAAAGCCTCCCATCCACATGGGACAGATAAGCAGAGGATACAAACCTGGCATTGTCCACGAGCTCAGCAAGGGCTCCAAACAGGAACTCATGGGTGGTTCTGAAAGGTCAAAGGTAGAGTCAGTTAGCCATCAAAATGAGCACCATTAGAAAACTGAAAGAAGCTACATTACTGTGGCAGCTGTGGTCAACTTAGGATGGAAACACACCCATCAAATGAGTGCCACGTGGCAGGCCATGCCCTCTCCTCCAATTTACACATCTCTTGTGTTTCTAATTGACTGAATTCCCTCCATCTGAGCTGACTGGTGCTTCTCGGCATCAGGGAACCTCAGCCCCTTGAATACAGAGGGGAGGCCGCTCACTTTTACTTATATTTCTGCCTCAAACTATTTTGTGGCGGGAAGAGCCTCAGGTTTGGACAGAGGCCCTGAGACAGAATGTTGGCCCTGACTCTTACTACCAGTATACATGATGCCAGCCAAGTCTTTTCCCTCTTTGGGTCCATCTCCTGACCTGTAGAATGAGAGGGTCGGAAGAGGGGATCACTAAGGTCCTTCCTGCTCTAGCTAACAGCTTCCCACCTGCACAAGTTGCTCCTGGCAGACCCAGCTCAGAATTATGGTCCCTCCGAGGTGGGAGGGAACTCAGAGTCATCTAGTACAACACCCATGCTCACAAAGAATCTTCTCAACAACACACCTGATTTGGTCATTCCAGCCTTCATCTGAAGACCTCTAGTGACAACAGTCACTCCTTCCTGAGTAAGAAATTCTCTAGCTCCACTTTGAGAGACTACAGAGACATTTCCTGACACCCAGCCTAAATCTTGTCTTTTCCAAACTGCCTCTGCAGTCCAATCAGGACAGAGTATAGTGGCCCCATGACTTCCCACATCATCAGTATGACTGCCCTATCAGGTGTCATTTATCATCCTTCACTGACATATCACACTGCTGGCTCATACAGAACTGTCACTTCAGTCTTTCCAAATAAAATGTCTAGCCACCTTTCTCCCATCTTATCCTTATAAATGTGATTTCTTGAACCCAAATTTAGGACTCTGAAAGGTGATCCAGTTTGATTTGGCTCAAGATTCCAGTCTTTCAAGATCTTCTGGGCCCCTGACGTGAAGCTGTCCCTGTTGGCTTGGAGCCCTCTGAAAATTGGAGAAGCGTGTAGCATTTTACCGAGGTCAGTGATAAAAAGGTCAGGCAGCACTGGGCCAAAGATGGATCCCAAAGGCCTAGAAGCCCTCTTTCCAAGATGACATCAAACCACTTATCATTATTCTTTGAATCTGCCTTAATTAAACCAGTTCCAAATCCACCTGATTCTTTTGAAACCCACTTCTCTCCACCAAGACAGCAAGAGATTATCAACTACTTTGTTCACATTTAGTCAAAACTACACATACTCGACATTCCCTGACATACCAGTCTCCCTGTCAAAACAATCACATTTTTGATAAAGCCAGGCCCTGCCTATCTGGGGTTGCTGCTTCTTTTTCTCGCTGTCCACAAAGCAAAAATACATTCTAGAATGCCGCCAGAAATTGGAGTCAAGCTCCCTGGCCTCTACAGTCTGCAGGCTCTTCCTCTTTGAGGGGAAAGGAGGGGAAGTCCAGACCCTGCCTGTCCCTAGGACTACAGTAAATGCCAGCTGCAGGATGCCTTGCACCAAGGCTTAGCAATATGAACTCACCAAGAACAAGCCGGAGCTACTGCCCCACTCTCCCCAGAGTTATCGTGGGTATGGCTCCTGTTGGCCATTTTTTGGAGGGGGTGGGAGCACTGGCCTTTTCCTTTGGTCCTACAGAACACAGAAGTCAAATAACGAGCTGAGCACTGCCACCTTCCACCAATTATCACTGTGCCACTGGCCCCAAGGAACAGGCCTAGTCTTCCTTAATTCTCCTTTCTCTGAGGCCACCCAACAAATCCTTGTGTTTACTTCACTTCCCAGTCCCTTTTCCTACTTACTCCTCAATTCCAGCAGGTCAAACAAACTCAAGTCAACACCTCCCCCTGCTGAGGAAGCCTCTGGATAAGACCAACTCAAACTGGACAGATCTGAAGGTCATCGAGTACAGCTCCATCATGTCACAGCCGGGGGAGCTGAGTAAGCCAACTCACTTAACGATGAGTGGAGAACCCTGGATTCAAAGTCAGGTCTTCTGAACTTAGCTACGGTCATTCACACCCTGTCAAGTGACACAAGAACTATAGGCCAACCAAAACATCATTTGGAGAGGAGAGAAGCCCATTTTCTGCTGCTCTGCTCTACAATAGTGCATCGGTGGTGGACTCTGCCTATAGCCAGTAACCCCGACAACCACCCACCGCCTGTTCACTGCTTAGCTCCATCAGGTTTCCTGGGCTGACGTCAAGTCTGACATAAAACAGGACTTATTTATGTTAATCTACCCTTTGGCAAAGAAATCTATAATAGCCACTAGTCTCAAAGCCTCGTCTTAAACTGGGGCCCACAGAATCCCAAAGGACCCATGCATAGATTTCAGGGAGTCTATGAGAATCTAGATGGGAAAAAAGGTCACATCTTTAATTTTACTTGTCATTATCCCTCAATTATACAAGTAGGCAATAAACACGACCCTGAGAAGGGGTCCTGGGCTTCAGATTGCTAATGCGTTCACGACTCCAAAAATAGTGAAGAACCCTAGGCCTAGATCTCAGCATTTAGAACTAGAAGAGTCCCAAGAGATTATCCACCCCAGGATTTTAAAGATGGAAACAAAGAACTAATATGACCTGTGCATGGTCACAGAGGTCGTACCAGCACAACTAGGACTTGAACCCAGGTCCTCCTCTACTGCAAAAAGAGTTCTTCTTAGGGCCACTGACTCCCTGGGAAATGAGAGTCTCCTCCATGTGAATCTACAGCTCACTCTCCCCTCCCCCCAAAAAAAAACTGTTGATGAAACTCAGCTCCTAATTTTTAGCGAGCCAAATAATGAAGTGAAATTGACTTCTAATTCATCAACTATGGGCAGCTCAGCTTTTCTGGATAACAAGTTCTCTTCAATGGAATCAAAGGTCCCCTGAGATAAAAAGCAAGGAATCCAGGAAGTCAAGATAAACAGTACCCTGGCATCCCTGCTCACCTGCACATTAAAAACAATGAGGTTTCAGCTTATAAAGTGAAAGCTTTCAAAAGGCAACCTACTCAAAGAGAGAAAGGCCCCACAGACCCCAAAATATCCAGAAGAGCACTTTGTATGGGAGCAGAGAACTGGAAAGAAAGGAGACATTTATGACTGGTGAACAGGGAGACTCCAGGTTGTCAGAGAGTATCTCTGTGCTGTGAAAACTGGCACCAAGAAGAATTCAGAGGGACGTGAGGAGACTTGCATGAAGAGATGCAGGAAAGTAGGAGGAAATAATATACACAAAAATGTGGACGAAAACCGAACCAGAGCAATTTTTTTTTTGGCTAGGCAATGGGGTTAAGTGACTTGCCCAGGGTCACACAGGTAGTAAGTATTATGTGTCTGAGGCCAGATTTGAACTCAGGTCCTCCTGACTTCAGGGCTGGTGTTCTATCTACTGTGCCACCGAGCTGCCCCAGCAATTGTAACGAAAGAGAAGAGCTGGGAAAGAATTCCTCTTTTCCTTCTTTGGAAAGATGGAAGAAACTGGAACACTGTCAGCACCAGGCACAGTTCTGAACTCTTCTAAGCAGATCTCATTTTCTGTTACCAGGGACAGCTTTCAATGGACCAGGATATATTTGCAAATGAAAGTGACATTAAAACAAAAAGGTATCAAACTATTTCTTCAAAAAAGAAAAAAAAAGCAACATCAACTAAAACCCTCTCCTGACTCTTCCAAGTATGAAAGTGACTCTGAAATTTGAAGGTTACACCAGAGGAACGCTGGTTCCAGCTGGGCCACCAAGGTCGAACGGTTTTCAGGACAGGCCCAAAGAACACTAGCCTAGCAAAGTCTGAAGAAGCGGTAGCCACCCCCCCTCCCCGAAGGTGGCGAACGAAGTAACGATGTTTGGGAGCACTCCCTCTCTCCAACATATACTTGTCAGCCTTTCTGAGTGGGTCAAATCCTGGCCAGTGGACCAGTGTACCCCAAGAAGAGGGAGCAATTCAAGAAGGCTTCCTGAGGCCCCAGTTCACCTCAGATTCCTCCCAATCTGTGTTTTGAATGAAGTACATTCTGGATGAGACAAGTAAGAGGCCCCAGGAGATCAGGAACAAGAGCTCTTCCGGTCCAAAGACAACACCAAGAAAAAAGAGGATCACGTGACAGAAAGAGGAGAGAACAAATTCTTCTGGCTCCATCTGATGTTGGGAGTTCTTTTACCAGGGCACATTCTGTTCAGGAGGAGGAATCCAATGCAGAAAGACTCTGGGCCTTCCTTTCCTCTTTTATATCAACTGCTCTTAAGTAGCTTGCTCAGGTCAAGTGCTTTCTTCACAATCACCTGCCTGGGAGGCAGTGGGTCCACTAGCTCCATTTTCCAGATAAAGAAACTGAGGCTCAGAGAGAAGGGACCTGTCCCAGCTAAGTGGGTAGCAAGGCCACTGCCTCTATGTACCATCATAACAATGTTCATCTCTGGAACCTTCACCGGATTTTTTAAAAGCATATTCCATTATGAAAACCAGAGAGAAACACAGAAACATAAAGTAACTCTTAGTAAGATCAAGATCTGGGACAAAGACAAAAACAAACTCTGTGTTAGCTCTCAACCTTTGGCCCCACGACTCTCCTGATGCCCTCTGCTATTCTAAGAATAGTTTCCTGACTGGCTTCTGAAACATTTGTGAGAACTTGCAGAGGCTGCAAACGTGCCTCAGACATACTGACCCGCCTCAAGCTACTTCTCCAAATACTATAGATGACTTCCTCCGGGACTTCTAGGAACACTGAAGAGTGAAAGATTTCAAGGAAGCCCAATGCCCTCAGACTAGAACAAAACACCAAAAAGAACCTGCTAGAAATTCACAAGAAAGTTAAAGCTATGAAAGGAAAACGCAGAGTCCCAGTGTTGACATTTCTCCGAGGGTGAGGTGAGCTTAGCAAAGTCATTTAACCTATGCCTCTATTTCCTCATCTGTAAAGA